TGGAAAACTGTGCTAAGCGACCATAACTTAAATTGGAGTGTAATCGCATATCGTTGTTATGCGTTATGTTTAAAGTGTGACAGAATTATGTAAAATCAGCATAATTCACTTGCAAAAAGAAAAAGACGAATTATGTCACACTTCAATTAGCTGAAAATTAAATTTCGAAATGCAATACAATGCTAGGCGCCCTAATTAAAGTAATCCGTCATAACTTTATGCTTACGCTAGCAATAAGGTATTTTGTAAAATTTAGGTATAAATAGCCATGCCAAAATTAAATAAAATCAATTGTTATGAATTAATAATTCCACAAAGCATTTCATTCGCTACATCAAAAAGGCATTCTATCCGCCCAAATTATTTACCTAGGGACAACTTCTACTCGATCTCTGTATTGGCACTAATTGGAGTTGACAGACTTGGCGGAAACAGCCGAGCTGTTTAGAAACTTATTTAAGACCAATACCAACGTCACCCATGAAAAGAGATTCTCAGGGAATCTTCCTAAAACTTCTCCATACTGCCACCGCCATTCATTATAATTTAAAAAGCGGAAGGGCGAATTTGTGCATATTTATCAACTGCTTATGTTAGTCTATCCATAGGATTTGATCTGAAGCGGCATAAAAGGGTAGTCAAAAGTGTTTGATATTCATTGAACAGGTAGAGTTAAAAACTAAAGACGCAGTAAAAAGTAGACACTAATTAACGGAAACGTTATATTGAATATATTAACGTAAGAGGTTGTATTGTTGACATCAATAAACTATAAAAAAGCCCAATGATCTGAATATAATATTTAACCTACAATTACGCAACAATTTACGGCACATTTTTTTTTTGAATTTTTGTTGAAGTGTTTCCTTTGATGTCAACCTTTTTTTTTCGAAGCTTTAAGCTATTTTGTTTTTTATTCCACCATTAAGTAACCGCAATATTTTGCAGAGCACTTCAAGTCGTTTTGAATTCACAACTAAGGACAGCGATGCTTGCGTGTAAATCGTTCCTCGTGCATTGAAATATTATCTAACAATAAAAGAAAATGATAAAGATATATATAAAGATAAATGACATTGTGTGCAAGAATTTCTCATTCAGGAATTCGTCATCACCGTTAGCAAAGACGTTTAACGACGTCGCACTTCGCATCTGCAACTTCAACTATCATACTTTTTCTGAAACATTTTTACATTTGCTTCCAATACGCACCCGATTGATGCTAACAGTTTACTGAAAGATTTTCAGATGGTGCTTCACATATCCAAATATTTCAGCTGAAGTATCAAAAAACATCACCAGCAAAATGAGGACGCTTTGCTGATCTCCCACACAAATCGTGCTTCACTTAGAACTAATTTCAAAGATTGTTTTTCTACCGCCAACGAAACTTTTTCGGCAAGATTCTTAAGGATTCTGCGAATTCTCTTTTTAAACGCTAAACACCAACGCAAAGCTATATCTCTGGCAGAAAAAAAGCCATGCTGTGTCGATCTGAAAAAGTGGTAATCAAACAGAGTGGTAATATTAAACGAAAAATTGTTATTTTATGTAGAGGAAGGTCAAAAAATATCAAATTTAACCGTTGTCGCGTTACTTTATTATTTTCATCAAAATACGACACTGATCAAAATACTTGCAACCTCCTAACATATTCAATAATTATAACTTTTTGCTCCATCAATCCGATACTACGAGGAATATCATGTGCTAACTTCTCTCAGTGAATGTATCAGCTTTATGCAATCTAGAAGAAGAATTTCGCCAGGAAAAAGCAAACAAAAATGCTCGTGTAAAACAGAAAATAATCACTTCTTCTCAAAGTTTTGAAAAGTTTAAATTTTTTAAAAGTGCTTTCATTTCAATAGTCTAACAAAAAGCATGTCATATGGTAGTGACGATGTAGCGTCATTCGTAGAATCAAATGATGCTTATTTGCAGAGAGTTATCAGAAGAAGCACAAGACGTTGTAAGTTGGCATAGCTTTATGTATATATAAGAGATTATCTATAATTGGGATAAACCAAAATTGTATATGCTTATCAGCTGCTTTTTTAAACCCTTCCATGGTATTGAGTATGAAAATACGTAAACGTCAAGGCAAATGCGTTGGACCGGCTTTAGAAGCTATAAGCGAGTTCGCAAAAAAAGAAGAGCCGAAAGGTAAAAAATACAATTACATCTGTGATACAGTATGGCTTCTTTTGGCCGATTATATAGAACCGGAAGATGTACAAACTTACGCATTGATTTGCCGCCAAAGTGCGAGTAGCATTGCGTATTGTAGATATTGGAAAAACCTGTATGCACGTTACTGCGGACAATCAAGGATTTCCAAGATTTGGATTTTAAATTTACCAGAGCGCTTGCAACGGCATAACATGCACTATGGAGATCTCCGTTGTATTCGACGTTTTGTTATAGAGTCTTTGTTTTATTGTCATCAACCGTTTATAAAGCGTACACAGCAAAAGCTTAACCTGGACTTTTTAATTGGTCGTACTTTTATGAGATCATGGATTACAAGATCGTCAAAATATTTCACTACTTACATCGAGTTCAAATTAGGCTTTCCTGCAAATGCCGATAGGAAAGATACAAATTCGGTCAAATCACAATTACTACTTCATAAATTAGTAGATAACTGGGAAGACTTGGCAAATGACGGTTATGTAAATACGGAAGAGGAGTTATCGACGATAATGAGTCTGGCTCATGAACTGGAGGGAGTCTGCTTGCTTTTGCTATGTTCGACGCATTTTGTCTCAATGCCTTCTCAGTTGCAGTACGATAAAAACAGTAATAGGCGTATCCGGTTGCATGGCACTCGTACTCTTTTATCTTCCGATATGAAAACAAGTAATTTGAAGCTTGACTTTATGGTTAACATTGGAAATGAGATCATAACCATATGCTGCCCAAATATTTTATGGTTTAAGGTGGTGCCATGGTGGCATCCAGATTTTTACTCACATAGAGACAGCATTGTTGGATAAAGTTACTGTTGCATTTGGCACAGTTATTAAGCGTTATTAAGGTAATTTTCCATAAAGTTTGCAAATTTAATTCTAGTCATTAATTTTGGGAAGTTCTCAATTTTCGTGAAACTAATAATGTAAGCGCTTAGATTCAACTTGAATTATTTCGGCTAAGAATCTTTGTATTTCGTATTGATTTTAAATAGACCAATAAAGCACGTGGGTTGCATTTGTAATATGCATCTCGTTCTTGATCTACCTAAGATTATAAATCCGCTCTTTTGTCGTGTGTTATGGGAACAATCACAGTTTCAAAAATACAGATGCATAGCAAGTGGCTACAAAGTTATTTTGATATTAGCAAAACGTTAATAATCCGTAATGGGTTTTCATCTAATACTTATAGTGAATATTTGCAAGAAACGTTTCAAATTTCACTGCAAAAATACGCGTATAAACACCAAGAGGTAAAATATTTTACAATTTTGAAGTACTGAAGCCCATTGCAAGTGGTGCAAAAAAAGAAAAAGACTGGCTTATTGTCAACAGCTGATTGCGGTAGTAAGGCACGTTGTGGTACAAACTTACATCAAGCTGATGTCTATTTTGAAAAGTTAATAGTCTTCTTAAACATTTTGATATGTTTCATATATCTTTCGTACCCAATCCTACTAAACGACTACTATTTCCTACTAAATTCTGCATACCTTTACATCTCTTATTTTCACGATATGTGAAGAATAATAGGTCTTCGCTGGCAAGAAATGATCCTCCACAAATGTTTAAAAATAAAAACCATTCTTTTTTTTTAATCAAGTTTTTAATTGATTTTTTTTTATTTTTTCTATGAGTTTATCAAGTTAACATTTTTCTTTTATTTTATAAATCCAATACGCACTAAGTTGCTGAATAATACATAACAGAATTGTTTTGCTGTTGTTATTATGTATTAATACTACTGAAATTGCATTCATTTAATTGAATTACATGTTTAGAGCACATCTTTTAGATAATTCTCAATTAACATTAAATAAGGCTTACACATCCTTTGTGAAAATAATAATGATTCGGATGGGTTCGGAATTTGGATTACTTCACCTTAAACGCTATTTCATTTGCAGCTGTGGTCGCGTTTTCCTACATAAATCTAATCGTTGATCATGGATATTCAAATATTAACCTTTAATATTTTTTTTTTATTTAAACAAAAATCTTTTCTTTTTTTTTGTATTTACATATACATAAAACTTGATTTAACTAAAGAAAAAAAAAAAACAACAAAAAAGTTTGAAAAACAAATATAAAATTTTTTTTTTTTTAATTTATATTAATTATAATGTAAATACACACAAGCACACATGTAACATTTTTTACCACAATAAAAAAATTTATAAAGTTAGCAAAACATTTTTTTGTTCGTTCAGTTAAGGCTTTTCTCTTATAATTTTAATTTTCCCAACCTGGCGTAAAATTCAATAATTTATGCTTCGCTTTAAAAAAAAGGTGATTTTTTGTTTTTTTTACTAATAACGAATTTTAACTTTGAACCTAATTGAAAGATAAAGTAAAAAAGAAAACAAATTAGGGGGATGTTGATAAAAGTTAGGAAAATAAAGGATTGCATTTTTTTTTTTTTTTTTAATAAAATTAATATCTAACCAGGGACCAAAAACCCGTAGCTTCATCACGTCGGTAATAACGCGGGCGATTATCTCGGAACACCGTAATGGCGGGAAATTGATTCTCTTGTATAAATCGTATAGTAGACCTCCTCTGAGAAACAAAAAAAACAAAAGATTGGAAAAATATTATGTAAATTAAAGCAAGGTGTATAGTTTAAGTTTTAAATTGGCGATAATTATATTACAACAAGAAAGAAACGGTATTCAATTCGGGCCAATATCTTCTGTACGATATTTGATTATGAAATAGCGAGAAACGATCTGTTTATTGTATTCATTTCAAATTATATTTTGATACATAATAAAGTAACTTTATAAAAGAAAAGTTGCTTTCGGTTTGGTCCGAGTCTTTTTGCTTTACATATCTGTTATATATCGCAATGTACATACATACATATGGGCCCTATCTCGTATTATGCATACCGCACCATATTACGTAAAAGAAGAACTTTATGGCGTCTTTTCACTAAGATTCAAAGACATATTTATTATGTCCCTAAAGCTACTTTGTTATAGCATAATATGACCATGAATTGTTGGATATTCCTTTGGTAACATCGTTACGCCGTTAGTGCAAGAGTTCTGAAATGTCTTTGTGAAAAACTATACCAAGTAGTTTTCGTAGTCTGGAAAGTCAACTAAGAGAGTTGTGAAGAGAGCGAAATGAATTGTAACTAGACGGACTAAAGTCTGTGTTCCATGTTGGTTACCTTAACATTTCCCAATCGAATCTTGTCAATTTTTGGGGATACATTAAAAATGTGTATGATCTGGCATTGTCGTGAGGGAACATGTCATCTTTCCTATTAATGAATTCTGCTCACTTTGCCTCAATTTTATAATTTAATCGCATTACTTGTTAACAGTAGTAGTAGTGTGGTAGTGGTGGAAACAACCGTCCTGCCCAATTCAGAGAAAATTGGGTTGGGGTAGTGGATGAATGAATCGCTTCGATTCCCACTAAATACAGAACGTTATCTTATTAGGAATCATTGGCGACTTCGTTACCGTTTGTGCAGTTTCATCCATCTATGGAAGTTGATCTCTCTCGCGCATTATTGTCGTAGTCGATCCGTTTTTCATCGCCTGTTGCAAATCTTTTTAAAAGTGGGTCGATTGCATTTCTCTTTAGCGATTCTCAGAAAGATTCTCAGTCCGTTATATGTTTGTTTGTTAAATAACTTACTATCTAAACATCAAGCTTTTCGTGCTTACTTTTTTAACTTAATGTAAGTAGTTTAAGATGCTTTTTCGTTCGATGTTTAATTTTAAGGCTATATCGTAGGATGAAATGTGACAGACTTTCTCTTTTTAATATCAAAATTCCCTGAAGTAAACGATTAATCTGCGTGCTGTGCATTTTGGTGAACCATCTCCATTGTAAACACCGTAAATTTTTTCATTAGTTTGCAAAGCGTTGTACACTCGGTACGTGCTTTTTTTGCTTTGAAAGACAGGAATGGATCAGACCTGTAAACGATAAGACCTATATATCTAGCAATGTTATGCGTTTTTAACTCAACAGCTTCAGGTTGATACACAATAGAAATGATAGCAGAGAAGAAAGATAATGCAGATCACGTGATGATTACAATTGATTTATTGATGATACAATAAAGTTAATTTCTTTCAATCAGTTGATATTCAAGTTGTAATAGTCCATTCTGCAGCTTACGCCAGAATCTTTGTACGTTCTTTTGTAACATGAAGAGTATTTTTTTTAGAAGTCGTCTTACTACTGGAAACGAAATCGCCTTTGATTGAATTTCTTTCTAATTACATATGGACTGTCAGTTTTTATAAATAGTTAAAATTACTAGACTTAACAACGCTGGCATGAAGTTTTTATTTTATTTAAGGTTTTTGTACCATCTTGCAAGAACCCTTCAAGAGATTGTTTTCAACCTAGATTATGGGAGTTTGATTAACGAAAAATCAAATGGTAAACCTAAAGCTCCAAAACGCGGAAGTCTGGCGTAGTTCGTTGTAATAGGTGTACCATCACTTGTCGGTGCAAAACTTATACGACTTTACGCGAACTTACATGCATTGCAAAATGTGGTGGTTCGACATCGGGGCTTGAGGAGAGATGTTGTAATAGAAATTCATCAGATTGGGCTAACCAAAGGTCGGCTCCACGCAGCGGATCATAGTTAAAAGGACCAATGCGCAACATACCCAGCGCAGCGTCGTATATATCGAGAACCTTTTTTTTTAGGATATAACAAAGGAACAATATAATTAGTATTTAGTTTATTTATTTTGCTTTTCTATTAACAAACATTTTGAGCTCCCATAAAAATACGGGCGTCGCGCAGTTCCCTATCTGGTCCACGTTCAGGAAATGCAGCCGGAAATATTTCGCCAGTTTTGATATTCACACCGACGCCGTAGACGATCGGACAATTGACATCGCCACGTAGCACCGTATTTAATTCACCCACACAGGCTTGAGTCAAATCAATTTCAAGGTGATGTTTATGGAATGATTCTGTAATTATATGAATATTTCTCTCATTTTCTTGTAATTTTAATTTAATTTCTTTCGGAAGCTATTTTTTTTTATGAATAATATTTTTTAAGAAATTAATGAAACGTACGCATTATATTGTAAAAGACTTCTTCACCGTAGCTTTGGGGGTCGCGATAGCCACCAATTAATTGCAACTCTATACGTCCTTCCGGATAACCTAAGGCTAACTCTTGTACACGAGCCACCATAGTACAGACTGCCTCATCTACGCCAGTACCATCAAAATGCGCCAAAGCAACTGCACCTGAACCTTAGAACAAAATATCTTTCATTAAAAAAATGACAAGAAATATAATAATAAATAAAATTTCCTAAACAGTTTTATGAATGTGTAAATGTGTTTGTTCTTGTACGTGCGTGTGAAATGAAATTATTTGAAAAGTGCGAGTGCAAGTGTGCGGGTAAGTGTTTATGAAAAACATTATAACGCATCTAAGAAAAGGTTTAAAATTGTCTTTATGCCATTATTCCTTGACGCAAACTTTAATGAAAACACGAAACGTGATATTAGCAGACACATAAACGTGTAAACGTAACCTTGCTTACCTGAATGTCGGACCACGACAATAATACAAGTGGTGGCATCATCTGTTCCTACGATATTAATGTTCTTATCATGCGGAGCAGCTGCTGCCATTTCGCGTTGGCCTACATACAAGAGTCCCACAGGTCCTACGGATTTTGTAGGAATATTCAATAGTTGTTGTGCATAATCCCTATATATTGGGTGCTGCATAAACAAACTGGCCGTGTCCATGGGACACTCATCTTGCAGCACACCATTCAATACCAAGACCATCTTCGGCGGTAACAATAATGAACGGAATGAAAAAACAAATAAATCGGTACCTTGCTTGCAGCAACTGAAAAGCAAAAAAAAAAAAATATTTGAATGTTATAACTTTTTTGCTATATTACGACTATTTTCTAAAATGCACAAAAATAACATACAAATAGCAAGTAGGGGCGGTATAATGGGCCGCGGACCCACCAATGAATACCCTATGTCATTTCACTTAATAAAGTTATTCGTGCAACAACTTTTGAAAATAAAGTTATATGGAAAATAGTCAAAAACGTGATCAGAGTCGAAAAATTTTTAACAGCGTTCGTCCTTGGGTTAAGATACGATGCTGTAACAAATTTCAGCAAAATATTCAAAAGTTACGACCTGTAGGTTAAACATTAGAAAACAAGCCGGATAGAGGGACAGAAGGACGGACCAGCTTAAATTGATTCGGAATTCTGATTCTGATAAGGTACAATAAAAGGTGGGCCTTTTTCAAGTCCTTTCGACTGTTGTGTTACATCCGTACTAACTTAATATACCCTTGTACCACAATATACCCATGTACGGCACAATGAGCAAAAGTTGAACAATATTAAGAAAATTTTTTAAATTGTTTTTTTTCCCTTCAATTTTACATTTTCCATAGACTTCTTTTTATAGATTTGTGTTGGCATGAAGTTAGTCCACTGTATGTAGCCTAAATTTTTTTCTTTGTCTTCACACTTGGTTCGCATCTCCGCTAGGGTAATCGATAATTGAACAATATGTTGAAAAACAACAAAATGATGAAAAAAACTGAACAAAAATAGAAAATACAAACATGAATAAAATAAAAAATCATACAGAAATGTTATAAAAAATTAAAAAAAATAATTTATTGTTACTATTTACCATATAGTGCAGAAAAATCTAATTTCATTACTATGCCCAAGGTATATCACCGTCAAACTCGCCACAAACATAAGACAATAAATGGAAAATATTGCAATAATGTTGCTAATGAAATGTTAGATATTATATAAATAACGTTTTTGCATCTATTCAACATGTATGTATAGGATTATACATTGCGGTCATATGTTTGCAATAGTAGAATGTTTTGCATAAAATTGTACGCGGGTGTTTAGCGGTTTTGCCCTTTCGCTTGTATGTTCTTGAGTTGTCGTTATTTTTGTAAATTAATCAATCAATTAATATCAATTTTTTATTCATATTATAATTCTGTGCAAATTGTCCACATTAAATTCAGAGTTTTCCCGCCAAAATCTTCTTCCGTGAACGATATAGCTTGTGGAAAACAAATTTCATTCAACTCAATGACGTTGGACGTTGGAGCACAATTGGGTTTGGAGCATTCGAAAACGAGGGATATAAGTAATATGCTTTACAAATTCGTAGCAAGCTTTATAAAGCAGAATTCACAATTAACAGATTTTCCGCCAAACGAAGAAGCAGAAAAGTCCGAGAAGTTAGAAAATGTTATCGACGAGCAGTCAAATCTTTCTAAGAATATTCATCAAATCTATGAAGACCGATCTGTTCCGCTCTACTTCTTTATGCCTTTCAATGCTGCTAACACTTTTATAGAAAATGCGGGAAACTTTAATTGAAAATAATTCGTATCTTGCAAAATATTACTGGGCCACGGAAATTGATATATATATAATAAAATAGTTAAGCCAGGAAATGAAGACGAGGTGCCTAAAATCAATATAATAGACAACCTTACGATTTTCGGTTATAAGAGTAAAACCTTTGGTTCTATTAAAGAGAAACGTCCTTCAGAAATTAAATATATTAAATATCAGAAAAATAATTTTGCTCGTATACGATCTTATTGCTGCACGAATTCGAAAGCAGATAAAGTTTGTTTAGAATACGATATATCGATGGTAAAAAAGCCAGTGTCGGGCCAGCCAGTACAACTAAAGGAGTTTTCATTCACACCTTCTTTAAAATCACAAAAATGAGAGAACACAAGCGCACACTTTTCCGGGAAGAAATGAAAGATATTCTTCCAAAGCAAGTCCGGGTAAATTTCTTAAATAAATTAGACAATAACGATTTGATGCGGTGAAGTTAAGCCGGAGAGCGTATGTAGAAAAATAAGCGCCGATCTGAAGGATTCGGGAAACCGAAGCGCAAAAAATACAAACAAGAACGACCTACTTTTTCAACACCTTGCTTGGGCAAGTTGGATTATTTTCAGGCAATCAAATAAACCGAAAAAAAAGTTAGTAAAGAAGGTTTAGTATATCAC